CATATGAGTTGAGCTGACGTTTTCATTCAATTTCACATAGCCTTGCTTTCCCAAAAGTTGTTCTCATCCCACAATGTATATTTTCTATAACAATCGACTATGTTATTTTATTTTTCGAATTAAGTATTGTTTTCGTGACTACAAGTAAATCAGTAGTATGAGATGTATTCACCAAATTTCGTTTAAAGTGATGAAGAACTGGTAGTAGAATTCTCCCACAATTATATGAGTTGAGCTGACGTTTCCATTGCATTTCACATAGCCTTGCTTTCTTAAAAGTTATTCTCATCCCACAATGTATATTTGCTATAACAATCGACTATGTTATTTTATTTTTCGAATTAAGTATTGTTTTCGTGACTAGAAGTAAATCAGCAGTATGAGATGTGTTCACCAAATTTCGTTTAAAGTGATGAAGAACGGGTAGAAGAAGAATTTTCCCACAATGCTATGAGTAGAGCTGACAGAGTGGCCTTAATGCATCTTTCAAACCGGCTGCTGGGGCTCAATACTGCAAGGGCATGATTGAGATCAAGATTGTGATCTTGATCTCGATCAGGCCTTACACGATGCAGACCGGCGAGCCGCTTCATCGAAAAAAAAGTCTTGATAAATGAGGCGGAATTGTGGAATAATTTGAAAATTTTCGCAACAATAATTGACATGTATTCACCCTATTTCGTCTAAGGTGATGCATATTACTTGGCCTTACTTTCCCGAAAGTTGTTCATATCCAGAGTTGACTGCATGAGAACAACTTTTGGCAAAGCAAAGCTATGTGAAATTGAATGAAAACGTCAGCTCAACTAATATGATTGTGGGAGAATTCTACTACCAGTTCTAGATCACTTTAAACGAAATTTGGTGAATACATCTCATACTACTGATTTACTGGTAGTCACGAAAACAATACTTAATTCGAAAAATAAAATAACATAGTCGATTGTTATAGCAAATATGCATTGTGGGATGAGAACAACTTTTGGGAAAGCAAGGCCATGTGAAATTGTATGAAAACGTCAGCTCAACTCTTATGATTGTGGGAAAATTCTACTGCCAGTGCTTCATCACTTTAAACGAAATAGGGTGAATACATGTCAATTATTGTTGCGAAAATTTTCAAATTATTTAACAATTCCGCCTCATTTGTCAAGACCTTTGTTGCGATGAAGCGGCTTGCCGGTCTGGATCGTGTAAGGCCTGATCGAGATCAAGATCACAATCTTGATCTTGATCATTCCCCTGCGGTATTGAGCCCCAGCAGCCGGTTTGAAAGATGCATTAAGGCCACTCTGTCAGCTCTACTCATAGCATTGTGGGGAAATTCTTCTTTTACCAGTCCTTCATCACCTTACACGAAATAGTGTGAATACATATCATTACACTAATTTACTGGTAGTCTCGAAACCCTACTCAAATACGAACAATAATTGACTCATATTAATACAGTCTGATAGAGGTTTGGTAGCGAGGACTATGGGTTCTAATGATGCATGCAATACGAGATGAAATTCAGTTGGTAGTCTCCATGACGCATCGTTCTCGTTGCATCGTTGCCACGCCTGCCCCATGCTGATGGCTGTCATGCCAACCAGCAAAATAGAGTTAGGATTGCACAAAGCGAGAAATGGAGGTGCAAGTTGAGGCGTTTGGTGGTTAGGCGAATGCATTAAAACAAACAGTTTGTGCGGCAAAAGGGTAGAGCAGCATCAACTTGATGCCGTTTGAAGACGCCCTCGGCGAGCAAAAGTGTTGTCATGGCAGATTTGTGTGAGAATGTAAAAGTGACATTTCCACCGACAAACACGACACGGACCGAGGTACAAGTGCACAACTGCCCAACTTAGCAGACACCATTTGAGGCGAACTGACTTGGTTGAAGTGAACCGGTGGTTTTGGATGCGATTTCAGTATCCATTGGTGCCATTCAACCTTCTGACAGTTTCATTAAGCCCTTGCAATGCGATGCAGCCAATCGCGTGACTGGATATGATGTACATTCTTGGAGTGGTCCAGTTCGAATAGTGGAACGGATTACTCTTTCCAATCTCGGCCCTTCTGTATAGTAACTAGGACTAAGAAAGTGTGACACGATTTTACATTTTTTAACGAAACACGAAATAAAAGTCGGTTCCACAGAGATTGCCTGCGTCTCGATTGAAAGTGTGTTTGATGAAAAAGTCGCGGACGGGGAATCCCACCAAAAGACAACGGCGGATTCCTCTTGGCCAACTGTCAATTTGGCTATACTGTAACACTCTTGTTGACACTGTTGCCAAGGCAATCACTTTCGATTGCAGTGAAAACCTTTCTCAGTTTATGTCCGTTGAATGACGGACGGCATACAAGCCGGGCATCATTATTAAAGACATATTCAAGCTATTCTGGCCAGCGGAAATCCGTCATTGTCTTCTAATAGGATTGGCCTTTAAATCTATTATCCTCTTTCTCTCTCTCTCACACACACACACACACACACATTTTCGCTCGAAATGAAAGAAGGATTGTCTTGGCGCTGAGATCGCACAACCATCCTGTGACTCCGATGAGTCCAAGCAGAACTGTCCATGTTCACGCGGACAGATATTTTGAGATCGAGCAATCATGACTTACGCAGAAGCAAACATGAGCATACCAGACGGCTAGAAAGGAGGACGGTTTCCTACCTACCCGACAAGACTTCTCATGACTTGGTTGGCTATTTGATGCCTGCATGAAAAGGGTGTGGATGTGAGCACAGTTGATGTCTTGGACAAATAAACCAGCCTATGTTTCGGTCATTTTGATGCGCTTTTGTATATGCAGTGTATTGTGTATTGTGTGTATGCCAAGACAAATCATGT